TTTATTAAATAAAGTTCTCTAAAGTCGAGGCAATGGTTGATATATTTAATACAAATGAGACAATTGAATGCATCGAATTGATTGGCTTTCATTGATTTGAATTCGTTGTAATCGATGGCCAGGTCTTTGTCGAAATCGAAATAATCTAAGAGACACTTCCAGCGCATATTCTTCTTCTGCGGTTCCCATACTGTAAACTGATTTGCGATCTCCAAAGGACTCACTTTTCGACCAAGCTCTATACTCATCACATCTGATATTACAATTAAATTTTATGCAGTATGCATATTTAGTTCATTTATAATAATACAGTTAAATACTCCACATGAAATAGTAATAGATAGGTTGTTGTATAATTTAACTCGTTTATTAAGTTATTTGAATTTTTCAATTTTTCATTTCTATAAATTGAAATAACTATAGCAAAATATAGATTAATAATAAAATTAAACAAACCGTTTGCATGGAATAGTTGTATGAAATATGTATGAAATTCCCTGACGTCTACTTTATTGTCGCCATCGATGTCCATGTGATGGAAGAGTCGACTCGTGTTTCTATCATTTGGATACGGAATCCGTTGGAAGAAATAGTCGCCAATTATACCAAACGAAGAGATGGACAAAGATATCCAGTCGTTGAATATTAAGTCAAATACTGTGATACGAGATCTTAATTCTAATGGAACTAAATCTAAATAAATGATCAAATAAAATGCATGCAAATTAATTTCAACATAATTAAATCCAGTATTGAATTACCTGTATTTGTTTCATTTGCATTTACACACAATATTCCTGCAAAAAATATGATAAGAATATCAATAAAATTAATAATCATATTTGGTTTGTTGGACACAATTCACATTCAATGCCAACTTTGAGATAAAAATAATAAATGATTTGAGATCCTTAAAGACCAGGATCCTCTACATATGACCTATAAATCGAATTTATAAATCCTTTACAAAATGAGATTAACATAAGTATAAGTTAGTATAAGAACTGAATTGTTAATCATTAAATCCTTTTGTGATTTTTACAAATAATAAATCCTATCACAACTGTTTTAATCAAAATAACAATTCAGTAATTTTTAATATTGTATGATACAGTATATGCAAAATTGCAAATTTTTACTACCTAATAATGTTTACTAAAATTTTGCAAACTAAAAATGCAAAATTAAATTGATTAATAATATATTTTTTAATTGTACAAGTGTGTTACTAATTGTGATCATGTTTAATCAAAATATTTTTAAGGATCTAGTTAATGTTAGTACGGATATGCGTATTTAACAATCTTTTAATAATCCGTTATTTAATTGTAATTTCTAAATAAAAGTCATTGAATTTTAGTACATCTGGCTCAGTGTGTTCAATATGTTCAATGAAATAACATAATTGCACTCATATAACATATACCAGGATCACTAAAACTTATATCGTGTAATAATTGTGATAAATAACTGATTAAAACTGTAATACAATTGTGTTTGTTATTAAATCCATGTTTAACAACTGAAATAAACAGGAAATTAAACTAATTCATTACAAATTAATTTGCAACATTTAATGTTTATGATAATATTTATATTTCGCTTTTAGTTTTAATGATAAATCACAAAATTTCAAATATTGATTGCAATAATGTTTACTATTTATTGAAAATGTAAAACACAATAGATTTTGATTAAATATTAAGCAAACATAAAGTAGATTATATTTTATAAAACATTTGTTTAAATATTACAAAATATTTATTTATTTAATAACAATTTATTGCTATAATGTTATAATGTACTCTCAATGTAATAAATTAAATTTAATTAAGTCAAAAGTATATAATATATTTATTTACCACTTATTGAGCCAATAAAATATTATCTCGTATTGAGTGCTTTTGGGATACGTTGACCAAAGTATCGGATGATGAATATAATAATTGTAAACTAATAATTGTTATCTAATCTGTTTCTATAGAAATTGTATTTTATTATTATTAGTTTGTGTTAATTAAAGGTAATTTCTAATAAAATCGGTTTATTTTGTGGAAACTCACCAAATGAGTGGATGAATTAAATAATTTTATGTTTATAAATTATAATATAAATATAAACTTTGATGCTAAACAATGGGAATAGAAGTGGATAAATTTGTTACCAAAATTGATGATGAATTAAAATGTTGTATTTGTTATGGAGTTCTCGAAAATCCCATACAAATTGTTGAATGTGAGCACACATTCTGCTTAATTTGTATCCAAGAATGGGTCCGAAGGTATCAAATTGATTGTATTTATATTTTTTAATAATTGTCAACACTTAATGAAAACCCAATTTATTGATAGGACACCCAAATGTCCAATAGATAGAAGGGATGTCACGACTGAAAGTCTTAAACCCGCGTCAAGACTATTGAATAGTTTTCTCAATCGGTTAGAAATGAAATGCAGTTTTCGTGAGTTTGGCTGCAATTCTGTGGTTAATATGGATTCAATGGCTTCGCATACAAGTGAATGCGCTTACAATCCTGAGGTCACTTTCCTGTGCGATAAGGGCTGTGGAGTTATGCTAAATGTGCGACAAAGACAGGACCACAACTGCATTCTCGAAGACATTCTCTCAAATGTTGAGAATTTAAGTCAAAAAGTCAAGAATATTGAAACCGAAAACTCAGAACTCCATAAAAGGATTGAAATTCTAGAACAAAGATCTCATATCAACGAAGAACTCGAGGAACAGTTGGAGGCGATTGAGAAGAAGTACACAGAAATGTTGTCACGTCTGTCAGCATTTCGTTTGTCATTGAATGAAACTTTAGATCCAAATCTGGCCAATGGTTTGTTTGAATACAATTTATTTATTATCAATTAATTATTTTATCAACAATTCTTAGGACAAACTCAAGAAACTCAAAGAAATAGTCTTATGAGAGATGAGAGCAATAGTTCGATGAAAAGTCACCAGAGATTAGGCGCTATTAAAACAATTGTCGTCGTTCACCTGATGTTCTCGAGTTGGTAACTTAACACCCGATTATAAGCCCTTGGCTAGTCTTCATATTTCTGTGCCTAATCTCTTGTCCTCTTATATAGTCAGCTCACGGTCACAAATGAGGTATTGTTTCAACTCTTGGATAACGACAAAACCCTCGAAGAATATAAAATCAAATCAATGAAATTTGTTTTAGTCAAAAGACCCATAAAAGTAGACGTTATTGTATTTTCTCAAAACCTGAGTTTCCTTTTGGAGCCGTTCGACACAATTAGTCAACTAATTGAGAAAATCCATAAAATCAAGGGCTTTAACGTAACGCTTACTTATTTTGGACAAATTCTCGATGAGAGCCGAACTTTCCATAGCTATAAGATTAGAGACAGAACTAAACTTAAGGTAAATGCCATTCATTGCAATAATGATAGCCTTCATTGCAATACTGTTCACTCATTGTAAATCACATTTCTTTCTTGCTATCTTATCATATGTTCACAAGTATACATTACTTTCAAATTATTAAACTTCTGTTCACAAAGAAATTACTTTTATTTATTGTAAAAAATTTTAATGTCTAAAAATGTAAAACAAAAAATATTTATAATTTACACGTAAAATATTGGTTTAAATAACTACAAAAACAATGTATTAAACAGTTAATTGTTTACATAAATAATAATAAAGCTTTTAAGACAATTTAATGGCTAAGAAGTTGAGAGATTTGCTCTGGAGTTAAGTCGGATCCGCGAACCACTTCAAGCATTTCCTGTGGATCACCGAAATAGACCATAAATAGAGCCACTTTTGATTCTTTGCTCGTTATTATGAACACAAACGGATGGTTGGCTTTGAAAGAGACTGTATTCGAGTCTTTCATTTTGATGGGTTTCAATTGACGGCTCACTTTGATATCGGAGTGAGTCGGACCCCTTTCGTCCACCAAAATGAACGCCTTGTGAACCAATTTCAACAAATGTGTCTTTTTGTCACACATGGGAGACAAGTCGGCCAACGACTCGTCAAATATATCGATGGCTCCCATCTGTTTGATTGTCTTCTGAAGCGATACTCTCTGAGCGTCTAAAGCGAAACGAGGCAGCGATACGTCTACTAATGTCTTCTTATTTGTTTGCAAAGTTGTCATAATTGACTCAAATATGGTTTTATTCAGATATTCAATCACATAATGGCCATCGCTTTTGGCGTCTTTTGGCAAAATGACAATCAATCGGAGATCACTCGTCGCGTACGGTATGGAAACGATATGTGCGGACAGTTGTTGGCTATACATATACCTGAGCTCAAGCAACTGTTCCATCATTTGGATCTTTGCGGTGATGTTTTGGCCATTTTTGACAAAATTAAACTCTTGTTTCTCCAACTCATCAAAACTTGAGACCCAATAGCCGCGGAAGAATAGAGAGTCCGCTAAAATGAGTTTAACATTTTTATTGCCTTCGTTAATGTCTTTGGCGGCAATCATCTCATCGATCACGTCGTCTGTATTCATCTTCGAGTCACTATTGATTGTATTCACCGTTTCATTAATGTTAGAAAAGTTCACTGATTTGGGCTTCACATCAAAGTATTCGCGCAATAAATTCTTGTACTCTTTGTTGAGCTGAACGCTGGAATCGATGTACAAGAAGTTACTCGACATCAAGAGGTCGTGATTGGCTTTCAGTATCCTTTCCGAGTTACGGACGGTAAGTCGATTGTAACTCTAGACTAAATTTGGCAGAAAATTAGAGTTTTGACTGCAGTTAACTCTAAGTGAGCATAAAAAACTTGGCTAAAAATAGTAATTATTTCTCAATTTCTCAGCGAAAGGAGAGAAACATAGGTTTCGGTAATCGTTTTTGTGTCGAGCCGTAAACACTTTGAATAATTCAAATCCAAATTCATTTACAGATTCTTTCATTGAATTTGTCGACATTTTTACTGATCAATGAATTCACAAAATTCACATCAATTCTCTATTTAACACTTTAAACGTTTGTTTTATACAATTACTGAATTGAATACTTTCTCAACAATAAGAAGTTATAGTTACAGTATATTCTCATCATTACTTACGCGTGAAGTAAGAGTTATAATATGTATAACTGTATAACACTTGTGTTTCAAATTCAATTGATTGTAATTTAACCACAAATTCACTGTTAAGTCACGCTTTGAAACAAATTATTGAAATTCAAAACCGTTTTAGTTTTTCGTTCAGACAATTAAAGCCGTTATAACTGATTATAAGTTTTTGTGAGACAACTATTATCTCAACTGTTTTGCTGTTATTGTCACAAATCTTTGTGTTGTCTTTAAAATTTGTGGTGATTTTTTTGCTCGTTTCCACTTTCGGTGATAATTATCTCCAGATTTGTGTTCAGTTCTCGAAGAATAAGCATAAGAAGAGTGACAATCGATGGGAAAGGGAGCCAAACGGATACCATCGGACGCGCCGACAGCTCTAATCGCGCCGTCAGATTACGAGCACATCTATAAGGGCTCCGCACAGAAAGACAAGGGAGGCTCTAAGGCTGGCGGTGGCGGCAAAGGGGGCGCCAAACGGATCCCATCGGACGCGCCGACAGCACTGATCGCCCCCTCGGACTACGAGCACATCTATAAGGGCTCCGCACAGAAAGATAAGGGCGGCTCTAAGGCCGGCGGCGGTGGCAAAGGGGGCGGCAAAGCGGCCAAAATACCATCGGATGCGCCGACAGCACTGATAGCCCCCTCGGACTACGAACACATCTATAAGGGCGCCAAAGACAACAAACCCCCGGCCAGTAAAGTGGGCGGCGGTGGCGCCAAATCATCGGCAAAGGGTCCGCCGGACGCACCCAAAGGACCGGCACTTCAAGAGCCCGCAGACAAATCCGGTTCGGCCGAGAAGGCAGTCCCTCCTCCCCCACCCCCGGCCTCCAAGTGTTCGCCGATGTATATCGCGATAGGAGTGGTGGGAGTGATAGTAGTGTTGGCTGTCGTCGCCGGCGCTGCAGTCGTGTTAATGAAAGACAAAGACAAAGACAAGACGCCGGGAGTAGTGTCGGGCCAATCACGGACTGTGACTACGGGCGCGCCGAAGGGTGGGGCGCAGCCGCCGGCGACCGTCAAACCGCCCGCCAAAGGGAAGCGATCGTTGAAAGACATACCGGGGCTCCAGAGGTCGGTTCGCGGCACAGGTGGTGGTGATGGGCATCAGAGACGGATCAGGTCTGAAACAGCCGGCGCTGGTGGCCAGTGATCAACGCGTGTGTGTCTGTGAACTCGACGGCCGTCTAAATATTTACAGCAAATACTCGTCAAAATTTATATCAAAGAAAAAGTGTTTTTGAAATTCAATTATTTATTTTGTTTTTTATAATTTCTGTAAAAATTTATTTCTCTATTTTTTGTGAGTATTTTTTGTTTTATTTTGAATCTATTTTTCCATTAAATACCTGTAAATAACTCATAAATATTAATATGAAAAATAGTTTTATTTCCAATTAAATTAATTTTAATATAAACAACAGTACGAGAGAGAGAGAGAGAGGAGAGAGAGAGAGAGAGAGAGAGAGACGAGTGGTGTGTTTACCGGNAGAAGGCGAGCGAAGCCCAGCAAGAAAAGAGGCGAAGAGTGCAAAGAAGAGAGAACGGAAAGAGGATGAGCGAAGCCCTGCGAGACAGGAGAGAGAGATGTTATTAATAAATTATGTAATTATAAGTCAAATTATTGTCATAACTTATAACTAAATTACAATAATGCCTGTATTTTCCTACTATTAATAAATCCTGTATTTTAAATTGATATAAATTTACATTTAAACAAATAATTATGAATGTAACAAATTTGCAGACAATTTATGAGTAAAATTTTGCTTTAATAGAGTAGATTATATACAAACTACAGTATTATTTAATTTTGTTGATTAAACAAAAGCCTATCAAATAAATAAGAGTAAAATATAAATTAAAAACTTGTCAAAAAGTTATTCATAAAATCAGATCCAATTGTGAAAAACTTAAAATGTTTTCACAAAAAAAGATGGCATTAGATGTCACTATAATATGCATATTCTGTTGAATACAAATTCTGTGTAAAACGTTATATAATTCTGTGTTGTGTTAAATGTTTTGCGAAATATATTTAATTAAATTTATTGTATGTTAATTTAATTGTATCTGTTGTAATAGTAACTGTTTTAATTGAATAAATTATATCTGTGTTTATAGATTTAATGAAATTGATATAAAATACTGGTTATAACAGTAATGTAATACATTATTTGCATTAAAATATTAATGAATGAATTGGAGTCTTATATTGAAATGAGTTTTAAACAAATTTTATTGATTGATATAAAAGTGGAAACAATTTGTTTGAATCAGATATTGCTTTACTTGTATTTCAAGCAGTGAATAGACTTCTGTAGACATCTTTGAGGGCCGAGAAGTGAGCCTTTTTCTGGCGCATCATATCCTTGAACTGATCGGTCGATTGCTGGCCAACAGTCAGCGCTTTGACGGCCTCTGAGTCTTCTTTCAACGCTTTATACGACTCTTTGAGAGCAGAAAACGATTTGAAACACTGTTTCCAATCGCTCTTTTGACGGCCAGTCGTGTCCTTCAGATGCAGATAATAAGCATTGGTTATGAACAGCAATGCCTCCCAATGTTTGCAACTTTTGGTACATTTCTCCCAATCGACTGATGAGACAAAACGCTCCGTATGTTTGACCGCTTCCGCAGTTTTGTGGCAAACAATGTAAACCTTTGCGATCTTCAGCTCTAAGTCCATCAGCTCTTCGCACTCACTGTAATGCAAATCATTGAGTGTTTGCAGCGATTGTTCCGCTTTCTGAAGACAGGAATCAATTTGAGCCATAGTTTCAGCCGATATCTCTGTTTCGACTTCAGTTTCTTCGACGATCTCATTCACGTCATCACTGGTTTGGTCCGCATTGTTGTCATTTTCTTCCTCTTCGCTCTCAGTTTCGACTTTTGTCTCGTTGTCTTCGGTTTCGACAACAGTTTCTTCGGATGATTTG